TAGGCATCAGCATATTACTGAATTTACACCATTCAGCATAAAAATTTATAAATACTATTTCATTGGAAGCTGAAATGTGAAATAAGGTTAATGGTGCATAAAAATCAATGAATTGTAACTTGATAAAGAAAATTGATTGTTATTTTAGTTTGATATGCTTTACTTGTAAAGTTAAATCAATATTTACACAATTATTAAACATGAAGGAAAATAAATTTATGTGTTATTAATGGTACTATGGTATAATATAATTTGTGAAAACAATTAAGTATGTTTGAGAACAGTTATACATATAAAAATTATAATAGATTTTGACCTCACTCTTCATCCTAAATGAAGTTCAAGTTTAATAGATATAAAACTTCATGACATTGACCTGATAACAAACTAACAGACATACAGATTTTGTTGTTTGTTTACTAGACAAAGTTTATTTAATTAGGCCTGATGATGTGGCTTACTTATTAGGTAAATTAACCAAGTATAAGATTTTTAATGTGTTTGACACCAACTAACAAGTTTTTATTAAACCGATATGCTATGATATACAAAGTATTACTTTCATTAAATAAATATTTATAAAGGTATAGTTATATTTTCAATTAACATATTTGGAGAAAATAGCTGTTTGTATGTTTGTACACATTTAGCATTAGTTGAGGAAAACAAAACAAGTAGTTTATTGTTTTGTTCGTCTTTAATGAGAAAGTAAGACAAAAAGCTTCTAGAAAACGTGGAGTAGGTAACTCACCTAGTATCATATCCAAATTACTTTGTGTAATTTGCACAGCACCGCTATCGGTAGGGTTGTAAAAACTATGGCATATCTGAAACATAACAATTCTCGGAAATTATGCAGCAATTACTTATTCATAATAGACCATAAAATCAACAATCCATTAGAACACTTTTGAGAAAAAGATTACCGGACATTTTGACATTCCAAATGCTTACCAGAAAAATAACACAGATCAGGGTTTTATAGTTATAGAAGTTAAATGCATTCCAATTCATTTTGAAACGATAAATGTATCACTTTTTCAGCTGAAGTGAAATTAATACTGCCGCTACCGCTGGCTGGTGTTGGCTGGCACTTGGCAGTTGGCTAACAGCAGTGGCAGTTCTCTTGGCAGCTGGCAACTTGGCACTCTGGCAGGCACCACAGATAAAACAAAGAATTCTTTGTACACCATTTATCATTCAAGAATAAAAATTAGAAACCTTAGATTTATATTTTCTAATAAAATCTTATCCAAATGTAAATAGTTTAAAACAAATGAATATTTTCATACTATCCAGAAAAAACCGGTTATGCACTTTTGTTAGAGTTGTCCGCCAAGAACACCAAATCGACTAAAATCATCGGTTTTGCGATTTTTGTATCGTAATTTAATTTAACTAAGAGCATTAAAGTTCATTTTATGCCCAGAAATTTTGTAAATAAATGCAATAGCGTAATATAAAATACATTACTAGGGGACGGGGATGAGACAAACATAACCATAATCTATATGATTATATTTTTCATGCACAATTAACTTGTGAATCATATATTTTTGTGTATGATTATTCAATTATTTATGCATCATAATTTACTGATGTTTGAAAAACATCATCTAACACTAGCTATCCACCATAGAGGAACTTACTATATACTAAAAATCCCATTTTTATGTAGGTACTAGGTACAGTGAACACCTACCTTTAGAAACTCCAGTTTGGGCACAGTATTATTGGGATTTCAGAAATTTGCCTGGTGGATGGCAACGCCCTTGTGCATGGCAATGGGGTCGTGCCCGATGGCTAACAATGGGCCCAATAGATGGCTATAGACTCATGCTATATTACATGGGATTTCAAGAATAACTGGCGATGATGTATAGGTTTATTTTCATTTGTTGCATCATTTTCTGTAATTATAGCAAAGCAAAGAGGAAACCTGGACTTATAATTTCTAATTATAATTTTGAAATCGCCAACCCGCATTGACCAAGCGTGGTGATTAATGCTCTAACCTTCTTTGTGTGAGAAGAGGCCTTTGCTCAGCAGTGGGCACTTATAGGCTGATGATAGCAAAGTCGGCCAATATTTTACATATATCGCGCGCGGAATGTGGCGCGAAACGGTAGACCGTTAAGCAGTAGGTACCGCGTCGGCCACGTAAGGACCGCGCACCGCCCGCGCAACGCCCGCGCATGTGCCCTGTGCCCGCGCCGCGTTACCGCGCTCCCGCCACTCAGGAGTCAGTTCAGTCGCGCGCCCGCTTCTATCGCCCGGAACAGTTATCTTACGCGGATCTCGTTCGCTCCCGCCAACTTTGTAAAATAGTATCTATATTTTGCTTTTTTTTGTGTATGACAGTCTTATAATAAACGTTACATATTAATACGTAATTCGTGTGCATTATTGTGTTTCACCTAGCTAAGAACTAACACACAAACTCTATTTCCCGCCAAAGGTAAAAGTGACGCCCAACTCGCGGCCCGACGTTAGTTTATCGTCGGCAGTAAAACGAACCCAGTGAAGTGTTATATATTCAGTGATTATAAAGACCTAATCATGCCACGAATTACGCGAGCAACCCGAGCACAAATCGAACACAAGGCGGAGGAGCAAGGAAGTGTCGGTTACTCCGATTCAGACTGCGACTCAGTGGTGGAGCCGCGCGCCCGTGGCGGCGCCGCTACAACCCGGACACGCGACGCATAAGACGCGGCTGAGGAGACGCGCGCCCAGGGGGGCGCCGCCCTCGGCCACACCCTTGGTGGGGTCCGGACCGGCGCGCCCACCACCGCGTTTATCATCGATGCAGTCGAAGAGGTGGGCGCCGCTCTCGACCACACGCTCGGTGGGCCCCGGACCGGCGCGCCCGCCACAGCCGTCATCATACGACGCGGCCGAGGAGGTGCGCGCCCAGGGGGGCGCCGCTCTCGACCACACGCTCGGTGGGCCCCGGACCGGCGCGCCCGCCACAGCGTTTATCATCGATGCAGTCGAAGAGGTGCGCGCCCAGGGAGGCGCCGCTCTCGACCACACGCTCGGTGGGCCCCGGACCGGCGCGCCCGCCACAGCGTTTATCATCGATGCAGTCGAAGAGGTGCGCGCCCAGGGAGGCGCCGCTCTCGACCACACGCTCGGTGGGCCCCGGACCGGCGCGCCCGCCACAGCGTTTATCATCGATGCAGTCGAAGAGGTGCGCGCCCAGGGGGGCGCCGCTCTCGACCACACGCTCGGTGGGCCCCGGACCGGCGCGCCCGCCACAGCGTTTATCATCGATGCAGTCGAAGAGGTGCGCGCCCAGGGGGGCGCCGCTCTCGACCACACGCTCGGTGGGCCCCGGACCGGCGCGCCCGCCACAGCGTTTATCATCGATGCAGTCGAAGAGGTGCGTGCCCAGGGGGGCGCCGCTCTCGACCACACGCTCGGTGGGCCCCGGACCGGCGCGCCTGCCACAGCATCATACGACGCGGCCGAGGAGACGCGCGCCCGGAGGGGCGCCGCTCTCGACCACACGCTCGGTGGGGGCCAGACGCGCTAGCGCGCCTGCGCGCTACCTACGGCGTGCGAAAGCCCGCGCATATGATACTGCGCGAGGTATTTCAGTGTGAACAAAGTGAGTGCGAACGTGCTGAAGTTTTGTGTCAAAGGTACGATGTATACTTATACAGTTAGGTACCCTATTCTGTGCCGAACGAGATAATGGTAGACATATAGTGTACGGTTTATTACACCGGCGTATAAGAAAACGGGTGTCACGAGACACCATCACCGACATTGAACATCTGTTAGAGCGAGCGAGACTCACAGAAGATTCGATAACTGAGCTAAAAAACTCAAACGTTCCCGCGAACATACCTACTGTTCCCGATCGGAGTATTACTACGAGTTCGAACGCAACCACTAGTCCCAAACTCACCTCTAACTCGAACGACTCGTCTAAGCGAAATCGTGTTCGGTGGGTGGTATTCACGTAGATCCAGGCAAGATCGCGGCAATCGCGATTATACCTACACCGCGCAACGGCTGGTTCAGGCGTTTTATCCCTGGTTACGCAGAGGTCGCCAAACCATTGACAGCGCTGGTGAAAAAGGTAAGTGTATGGAAATGGGGCCTGCTGGTATTGGCGCCGATCCTGCGTCAGGCTGATGCGACGTTGCCTTTCGTCCTCAGGACCGACAGCAGTGGAATACGCTCTCGGGGCGGTTCTCCTCCAGGGGGAGGGGACCGACGAGCGCCCGTTAGAATACACTCCAGGTAAGGCGATCGTTATAGCCGACACTCTGTCGCGCCCGGCATGTGCCGAAGATGCCGACTGTGATCTGTGCTGCCCTGCGGTCGACGTGCCCTCTCGCAGTCTGAAGGACGTGCGCGAGAATCAAATGAAGGATCCAGAGGTCAGTCCCACCACATACACTCTCGAGCGCCTCAGCGATGGTACGGTGCTAGGTAAGTATGATGCTTCTGTGTTGACTCCCTTCGTCGGTCGCATCCAAGACCCGGTACAGGAGAAACGAAAGAGGGGGAGGCCTCGTAGATTTTGCTAACCCCAACGCGAGGACGTTCGTTTGGGTTAGAGGGGGAGACTATCGCGCGCGGAATGTGGCGCCAAACGGTAGACCGTTAAGCAGTAGGTACCGCGTCGGCCACGTAAGGACCGCGCACCGCCCGCGCATGCGCCCTGTGCCCGCGCCGCGTTACCGCGCTCCCGCCACTCAGGAGTCAGTTCAGTCGCGCGCCCGCTTCTATCGCCCGGAACAGTTATCTTCCGCGGATCTCGTTCGCTCCCGCCAAAACTTTGTAAAATAGTATCTATATTTTGCTTTTTTTTGTGTATGACAGTCTTATAATAAACGTTACATATTAATACGTAATTCGTGTGCATTATTGTGTTTCACCTAGCTAAGAACTAACACACAAACTCTATTTCCCGCCAAAGTAACACATATCATTTATAGTTTATACTTTTATACATATACATATTAATAAAGGCATTACAAAGACAAAAAAACAGTGTCATTTCACCACATGAATATTTAATATAAAAATACATAAAAGAGTAAAGCACATAATTGGACGGATTATGTTACAAAATAACAAAACTTGAGAAAATTGAGATTCAAAGAATAATTAGCTAAATGTACATTTTACATCATTGTAGTACTTTCCAGTGCCACCATCAACTCTCATAAATGATCTCTACAATGAGAATTTCACTTGTAGTTTATAAATTGATAAAAATAATATTACAAAATTTAAGTCTACACTTAAAATACAAAACAATGGAATATATCAGTTCTATAACAATTACATTATATAATTATATAAAACAAATGTTTGTTTGTTAAAAATCTGTTTTTCACATTATCATCATTAGGTACCTCACTTAGGATACAATAAAATAAGAAAATATAGTATAAAAAACCACTTAAAAGGCAGTCAACTTATTCAAACCATATATTGTTGTTATCATTTAATAATTAATTGAAATTATCATTGTGCTTGAAGTCAACTTGTTGTAATTATTGTTAAGGCAATTTTTATTAATTTTATGGTACAAAATGTGATATTTACAAAACTATTATGTTGCAAAAATAACATTATTTTAAACAGTCACACTACTTTTGCTTATATTACTTACTGCTTACTGGGTCAATATTTTGTAAAGTAGTTTTGCAGTAAAAATTACTCACTTTATCCTCTCAATTGTTGATGACCGACACAGGCAGGTTTTTATAAAATATTCTTTAATAAGAATAATCCTAATCCTATTCCTAACACAATAGAAACTGGTTTTACTGCATCACTGCCACTCTGAAAATAATAATATATTATATATTAATAATTAGTAAAAATATAATATATCAATTGAAACTACCTAGAGGAACTTAAATGCAATCCAACAAATATTATAAATGCAAAAGAAACTCTGTCTTTCTGTCTCTTCCTCTTATTCACGCCTTAACTACTGAACCGATTTGTATGAAATTTGGTACATAGTTTGGAACTACAGAAAGGACATAGGATAGTTTTTAAACCAAAAATCTTCAGAAGTCAATATTTCACGCAAGCAAAGTCGCGAGCAGAAGCTAGTTTTTATTAAAAAGTTTTAAAATTTTCTAAGCATGCAGACAAGATTAGGATTCGTGAAGTGACAGAGCACTCTATTTCTTGTTAGAGAATAATACATTTATGTTTGAGTACTTACTATAATATAATAGTTGCATCTATCACCAAGACAGCAATCTGAACACACCCAGTCCTGGTACCAAATGTGTGTACACAGTGGCATGTAGCGGTGTCTAGTAGTCGCACATTCCGTCTTATTGGAACACCGCTTCGATACATAATACTGTTTCTTTGCACCTTGAGACCAGTAAGGTGTACTTCCCCATTTTATTTCAGTCAAACAAACATCTTGATTATACTCGCAATTTTTAATCGTTTTAACGCATTTCTCATTATTATCTTCTTGGTTTTCACAGACATAACACTCCAAACCTAGAACTATTCATAAAATAAGTTAAAAACCGTTAAAAAGAAAGAAATTCCGTTGCACAAACAGAAGTTATAGTTTGGTTACCATTTATGACTGAAAAAAGAAAAACAAGACAACCAAGAAGACAGTGCTTGTACATTTTGATATTCTAATAATGTTCCGTTTAAAAGCAAGGCACTTAATCATTAAATTGTTATGCATTAATGCTTTTAATTTATTTGTATACGATCAAACAACGACCATTCAATTCAGCTTGTTGCCACACCCGTTTTTGACATTAGTTTTGGTAAGTCTTGCCACACATAAAATCAAAGGAATGCATAAGGTTACTATATCGGGCTAGTGCACAACAGCCGGATTGATATGCTTTAGGCTTGTTTGAGTGTAATTTAAAGACATTATTTGACTATATCAAAAAAGAATTGTCTTGCATGGGGATATTTACAAAATCAAATTAAGAGCGGCGCCAGCTGCAGTAACGAAATAAATGTAATAGTTGAAGTTGGCCAAATCACAAAATCATGTGTGTTTATTGATTTTAGCGTCCAGGCCGCCACACTATATTTACAGCACACATTTTACATACAAAGTCAGCCCTCTTGCCTTTTAACCTCCATTCTTTGTAAATATCTTTAAACTATGGATCATGAGTTTATTTTTATCACGTTTTAAGTTTAGATAGTGATAGACGAGCCTTTAAAATTTAAACGTCACACTGACACTGACAATATAAATTTAATTTTGACATTTGCTATCCAACAAGACGAAAATTCTAATTTGTTTCTGACGAAAAGTAAATATAAATAAATTAAGAAATAGACCGTTTAAACCGTAAATTTGAAATGGAAGGAATTCTTTGGAAATGGACTAATTACTGGAATGGTAATGTACAGTTTGAGCGAATTAAATAAAATATTTAGAGATTAATTCCTTTCATATAACAATATACACGAATGTTTTTGTTCCAGGATGGCAAACCAGATGGTTTGTTTTGGAAAATGGTATTATATCATATTATAAATCTCAAGAGGAAGTTAGCCAAGGGTGCAAAGGGTCTGTGAAAGTTTCAGTTTGTCAAATCAATGGTAAGTTTTACATAATACATTCTAATGATGTGGCCTGTAAAATTCTATAATATTCTGTCTAATACCATGTGTTCACGACATTTCCTTTCCCAGTGATATTAACAATTCATCAGTTCAGTCATCAATTATAATTTATATTTACTATAGTGAAAGTTGTATTGGTTAGGTAAGACAGTTTAATCCAACATGTATGTCATAGATTACGACATAGTAATACTGAATCGGCACCTTATATGGTAACATAACTACCTAATGTGTTAGCTACATACATATGTATAGGCAAACACAAAAGTATGTATGTGTACCAAGTAACTGTTGACTGAAAAAATCTGTCTTCAACTTGTTTACTTACATGTTTCAGTGAATGCAATGGACAACACAAGGCTTGATATTGTTATACCAGGACAGCAACACATGTATTTGAGAGCACCTTCGCCACAGGACAGGCAGAAGTGGCTAGTTGCGCTAGGCAGTGCTAAGGCATGTGTTGACTCAAAGGATCTGAAAGGTAATAGAATTATTTATTGTTTCTAATAAAAGAAAAACAAAATGCTTTTATTAATCATGAGTTGGGAGATAAAAGAAATAACAGATTGCCCAATGATATGAATGGATGGCATCCAAGGCTCACACTAGGAGAGTAACAGATGCATCTTATTAGTCTAACAGAGGAATTGTCTCCCAAATTTTTTTGATTATGTATTTTGTCATATATTATATATTTTGATTGTATAAAGATAATTCTACACATAGATTTAACAAAAATTTGTATTGTCATTATCCTCAAACCAAAATTAACAATTCTGGCGACAGAAAAACACAAACAACGATTTAATTCAATTAAATTGTGTACTACCAATCAATTTATAATATTGACAATTATAAGTTCTAAGATGCTTAACAACCTGGGAGGTTAATAAATTGATAAATTAACACATTCAGTGCCCCCGACGCGTATGTGCGTTTCCTCGCACGCACATACGCGTCGGGGGCACCGAATGTGTTAATGTTAAGGTTTTTCAGATAACCATCCATTTGCCATTGAATACAAGTGTAATTATTATGGTACCTATTGTTGTTAATCAGCATAGTAACACTCTTTAACTGTACTCAACATAATTATGTATACTTGCTTACATAACTGGATGCTGATAAAGAATAAAGCAATTTAAAACTTAACCTATCCACCATAAGTAATTTTAACAGACCATTCATAGATTAGATAGCCTCTATGTACTTGATAAATGTTCATATACTGTGTATTGTATTAGGATTTGGTTTTAAATTATTAATTTTATTTTCAGCTGCCTCCTTGGAAGACACAAACTCATTAAGTCATAAGAAAACTGAGTTACGCCTATACTGTGATCTCATGATGCAGCAAGTGCATGCGGTGAAGAGTGCAGCTACTGCCGAAGGTGGTCCTGAGACACAGGTAAATATTTAATCTATAGGTGTTGTTAAAATAGCTATTGTACTGAAATAAGAAAAGTATAACCATTGCTATACTGTTACATAGGTCTTTATTACCTATTGTAAATTTTAGTGTCCTTCATCTATTAACAGTAAAGAGGCAAGTTATAAGTTGCATGCTATCAATGAAACAGGAAGATAGTCAAATAAATGAAGTGATAATAATATTTTCATCTTAAACATATATGTACATACTTATTGAAATTAAATACATATTTCCAGTATAGAATATGTAATAAAAAATGTATTCCATATACATTGTTTTGTATCTAACAAGGAACTTATTTTATCTTTATTGTTAAATATAGTGTTAAATGTTGTGACTTTAAAAATGTAATAGTTAATTTGTATTTTCAGAAAATTGAAGATGCTTCAAGCCTCCTTACTGCAACATGTGATACCTTCATAAGGACATTAGAAGATATAATGAGATTAACATCTAATGCAGGACAGAATGCTGTAACTTTTGAGATGCCAATACCAAATATTAAAAATAACATTTCCAATAAGACTCCTAGGCAGAGTATAACTCGAACAGTGTCCCAAGAAAACAGATGAAATCTTCCTATTCACTCCATTTAATTATAAATTCATATAAAATCTTAATATCTATGTAATATATTCATGTTTGTAACCCTGGTGATACAGCTTTTGCTTTTATATACCAAAAAATAATAATATCAACCAGTGATAATATGGCATCCATATTACACATGGTCTTGTTAATGTAAATTATTCTGTTGAATTATTTTTGTTTATATTTTATTTTGTTTTCAGAGTTTACATTGCTTATGGAATCGTGTTGTAATTCTAAAAGATAAAACATATCTATGTTAATTAACAATTACTAAATTCCGTACTTAATTGATATTGTGTATCTCAATTTAAATGGTGAATTTAATGTTCAGTTTAGTATTTGAAATGGATCATTATAATGAAATATTGTTGATTGTACTTATCCTTACCTAGTGGCAAATTGGTCCTAAGCAATTACTTTTGGAACAATAACGTTACTAAAGACTAATTTAAGTAATCATTAATTGTCCCTGAGTATGGCAGTTATAATGTCAAGCTTGCATAATAATGTATTCCTGTGATATAAGTGTAGCAGCTTGTTGTACAGTTGTCACATACATATATCGAATGAGGCTATCATAATAAATAAGAATGCTCTTAAAAGAAGTTAATTTTATCATGTCAGTAAATTTCTATACCTATTTACTTGTTTTATATAAATGTAAAAATTATTATTATTGTGTAGTATGTTTTAGTGTAAAAAGTGACTCATTGAATTATGTTATTATAGGTAAAAATAATATTAATACCAGGTGAAAAGTAATATAACAATTGGAGAACTGATTATCTACATTCCAATATTTATAACAATGTTTTATATACCAAAAATGTTGCACATCAAAATTTTTCTTTTATTAGTTTAGAAAACAACATCCAATGTGATTATTGAAAATGTATTTGTTATAATTATAAACTGCAACTTTTTAATAAACAATAGTGATGTATATTGAAAATAAAAAGTAGATAAAAACATAATTGTATATTTATTAAAACCAAGATTGCAGTGTGTGCTTGACTACCATGATGGTTCTCCAAATCTTAATACAGTTTTTTCCTGTGCATCTAATTCAATACCCGTCTTCTTTCTCATATAGAAAATAGTGCAATCTCTGTTGGTGCAAAGAACCTCCTCATGAAGACTGCCCTGGCATCTTTGACACTCAGTCCAGAGCCTGGAAAACTTCTCCTGAAGCTGTCTCAGTTTAAATATTTCTGAAATATAAATTTGTCTCTCCTTATGCAAGCAGTGGTTGCATAAAGCTTTCACAGTATCGCTAGGCATTACAGTCTTACAACCAATACATTTCTCTTTTTTCTTTGTAAAAGCAGCTAAGGCACCCACTTTAGAAGTGACCATTGCTTTGGTTCTAGTGTGCTCTCCTTTCAATAGAAGTGATTCAGCTTTTTCTCCTAAAATTGGTTCAAAAATTCTGAGTAGTGGTTTGGATAGCTGGTTCTCCATATAATAACTGAAATCAATAGGGACACTATTTTCAAGCACATAAATAGGATCTTCAGCTTTCATGTAGGCAGGTGTATTTTTAGTGGCACAACATATGACATAAGGGACTCTGTCTCCAAGTTTAGGAGCTGTACCAGCATCTCTTTTCTTCATTTTGTTGGCCAACTCTACATGAGCCTGTTTTGCAGCATAGTCGTTTTTCGTAAGCTCTTTAGTTATCACAAGCTGTGATATATCTATGCGATTACACAATAAATCCGATATTATTTGTTTAGCATAATTTACAGCACCATCTGGATCCCTATCAATAAGTAACTTTTGAAGGCATGTGCTCATCATGTTGGAAACAAGAGGGCAGTTGTCTCTTCTCACTGTTTCTATACCTTTGCAATCCATCTTGTCATATTTATCTGGTTTAGTGAAATACAGTCCAGCATATCTCTTCTTGTTAATGAGTAAGTATGGGTAATATACCTTTTCAAATTCCAGTTTGATTGGTTTTACAAACTTTTCTGTAACGAAATCAGCAGCTTCTCTACCCAGCTCCATACTTTCCTCAAGAGTTTTCACACCAAACTTGACCATTACAGAATCAGTATCACCATAAATAACTACTGCATCTTCTTTATATCCATTTGCCTTTGTATATTTCTTTTCTACTTCTGTCTTAGTGAATTCTATCATTGTTCTTCCATAAGCTGTTACACTACCTGATATTTCTAAACAAGGAAGCTTTCCAACTTGTGCTCCTGTGAACCCATACACAGAGTTAGCACTAATTTTTAAAGCTAATTGTCTGCCATCAAGAACAGATCGTTTGAATGGGTCCTTTTCATTCTTCAAATCTGCCTTTGCCTTCTTCCTGGCAGCAAGAAGTGATTCCAAAATTTCAGGTAAAAGACCTTTTCTAACACTTGCTTTCACAAACATGTTTTTGGAAGGTGTCACAGTAACATCATTTTCACTTAAATTAATTTTATTTTGCATACTAGGTTGCACTAAAGTGGTGTAACATAAATTATGTGCCATCATTATACTGGGATACAGAGAGGCAAAATCCAAAGTAGATATAGGATCTGCATAATATCCTTTTTTAGGTTCTATCACAGTAGCTCCTTCAAATTGTTCATCTGAACCCTGCCCATGGTAAGCAGGCATTAAATAGCCTGCATCCTTAGCTTTTCTTAGTAATTGGCTGACAACCTTAATTTGTTGACCTCTTGTGAGCAGACAAAGTAAAGGAACACCAGTTACCCTGGCCATTTCCATGTAATTTATAATACACATCAACTTATTCAGGAGCTTAAGAGGCAAATATGCATCTTTCAGACAGTACATTGCCAATCTCCTTCTAGTTTGTTCATTTTCATTTTGAAGGTCTCCAATAATACTGTGATGAACATCCTCTTTTTGTTCTTGAAGGAAGTGATAACTGACAGCATTCAAGGTATATGATCTCAGTTTATAATCTCTCACTAAAACAAGCAGTAAGTCAAATGGAACTCTGCCTTCAAAGTTAATGCTTTTGTTTTCTCTGCGACCCATTTGTTTCGATTGCAAAACAGAATCTTTTATTACAGACCTTATGTTTCGAATACGTCCCAAAAAGTCAAAATTGTCGACTTTTAAATGTTTTGCCCTATTTATGAGGTATGGCCAGTCAAAGTTATTTATATTATAACCAGTAATTATATCTGGGTCAAGTTCACGGAAGAAATCCGACCACTTGGCAAGCATTTCAGATTCTGATTGGAAACTCAAAACTTGTGACCCTACTATAGGTGCACAAGTATTTAAAGTGAAAACATTTCTTACATAAGGTTCAGGATCACCTTGCCTGATCACCATTGAAGCAATTTGGATAACAGGGTCATGTTGTGGTTCAGGAAAAACACCTTTGCGACCAGCACATTCAATATCAAAACTCAATATTCTGAAGGGTGCTACTTTAGACCATTCTCCTTCTGGCTGATGAGCTATAAAAGCATTCCATGCTACATCTACTTCAATTTGACATCTAGACTCAGGTTTTATTTGTGAATCTTTTGATCTAAGAAACCACTTGTTCACTGGCAATTCAATCCAACTACAGCCAACAACTGATGTGTCTACCATGAATCGGATATCAAAATCAATATTACTTTCAAAGAATAAAGGATCCATTAAACCAAATGATGTTGGTTGTCTTTCTATTAGTCTTTTAGCAGCTGCAATCAATTTGGGAAGAGCAACAGATACTCTTGCAAAGGTAATATCTTTATCCCCCTGATAGTACATAAGAGATCTAGCCTTCACCAAACGCACTTCCAGTGTAGTTTCCTTAACATTATCCTTGTTAGATCGCATATCCTCTAGTATAGCTTTATTCAGAGTTTGTTTCAATTGATTGCATGATGATTCAGTAAAATTTATAGGTACTGTTACATAGAAATATGGTGTGAATCCATGGACATGACAACAAACTGAATTTCCTTCCATAGTTATACCATACATTCGCATGATTGGTACAGGAGCAAGTTGCGATCCAGGCATACCTGGCAGTGGTTGTCCATTATAGTGATCAATATCTATCTGTTGAAAGACTAATGTATCTTTCTTTGGATCCATTGGTGGAGGTGGTGGTCGTGACCACTTCAAGTTGGTAGATTGATTTTCAGGTCCTTCACCAAACACTTCTTGTGATTCAAAATCAGTTTCCATACAAGCAAGTTGCTCTTCAAAACTACATGGCACTTCATTATCTTCGTCATCGTCACCCGATTTTAATCTCTTTGGAGGCGGCGCCTTACTGTATTGCCTCTTTTTATCCATTATTTATGCTTTGTGTTGCACTATGCAGTTTCTAATAGACAGACGAAATACTGTTCCCGCCAATATCTGTAAAGTGCAAAGTATACCGTTAGTCTTACACGAAAAACTTATTGTAATGAACATTGGAATATAAAAACAAATTCCCATACCCACTTTTAACTTTATAATTAAGTTTCTAACGAATTATATACACAATTGAAGGAATTTTTCCGATTTAACCGTTTTTCATTTGTCAATGGATTTCGCGGCGAAAATGCATACACCGGCTAATGTCAAATGTCAAGTACCTAGGTGTTTTGAAGTATACATCAGCTGTCATCGGCTGTCATTATGCTAACTTGACTTGATCAAAGATGTGTCATCTGTCACTGTTGCTAGACTACAAAATGTTACCCTTCTGTAACGTGTTAAGGAAACTAATATGGATAATTTGATTAATAATAATTAGTTTTTTCGTTTTTGGATACACGACATAACACACGCAAATAATTATTGTGTTTTCGAGAATTGTTAACAGTAGGTAGTAGTTGTACCATAGATGAATATAAGTACTGAGTTGTACGAGAGTCTAGCTAGATGGTGCTCAGTGTGTAACAACTCGCCCTCTACTATATAGGTATATAAAGTTTGTTAACACAGTGCCTTCCTTCCCACTAGTTAGGCGGCGCTTTGTATTATTGGAACGTTGAAATAAAAAAGTGCGTAGAATATGGCTCTGGTCTGTACAAACCTTTAGCAGAACTTGGAGATATTATTTTGCAGGCAGGATTAGTAGATTGTTTGTAGAAAACGAATACAGAATAGCTGGAGAACCTAACACACCCTGAAAACGTCGTGGAGTCGGTACTTCAGGAATTAAATAGTTCAATATAAATTAGGTTTGGGTTGATGAAATAAAACCATGTTTATATAACAAATAGCAGAGGTGGAATTTATTATTATACTTCAGGAGGTGTGTGTTGCCTGAAGGCGTCAGCAGAACAGAAAGAAGGCGAGATGCAAACATCTCAGTGAGGGTTAGCTGGCCACTTAAGGCACTTATATTAGTGGCGTGAGAATAATGAGTAGATTGATTTTTGTTATTCCAATATGAGTATTACAATATTTCAGTCTTCTATTACAATATTTTGCATTAGGAACTTGAAGACAAGGGAGGGCCATGCTTTGGCTCAAGTGGGTCGGCTCGCTCGGAATGAAATTTGAATGGAATAGAATGACACCATAACTTCACTGAAAGCCAGCGTGAAGCACAGCGTTTTGTTTCGCCGAGTGAATGAGGCTACCGGAAGCTTAATCCTTTCTCTATCCCATTCCTCCTGAATCCTTATATCGTCAAAACCTCTTATTCCCAAACGGCCGTAGGTACCTTTGCAACTCCTCTGATGTTGCCGTTGTCCATGGGCAGTGCCGATTGATTACCATCAGGAAATATGCCAGCTCGTTTGACGAGATATTGTTTAAAAATATGTAGGTAACTGACGTGGTGGAGTCGTAGTGTCCCGGAGGTTAAGGAGCCCGCTTCTCATGCATGAGGGTGTGGGTTTGAAACCTGGCAAGTACCAACGTGACTTTTTCCAAGTTATATGTACTTTCTATGATTATTTAGACACCAGTGACATACGGTGAAAATTTCTAAGTTTGAAATCGCCAAGCCGCATTGAGCAAGCGTGGTGATTAATGCTCTAACCTTCTCCGTATGAGAAGAAGCCTTTGCTCAGCAGTGGGCACTGATAGGCTGATGATGATGAGGTAGCTGACGTATACGTTTAAATAGTCTTTATACATCCAACTACACCCATTACTAGCACGTACTCTATCCACGGACTGGTACGCTTACCTACGTGTCTATTCTAGCAATTTCATAATTAAAAATAAATGAAATATTACGTTTGAATTATGTTCCCTACTTTATTTACTATGAGTAATATAATGTATTTATATCACATTCTTCTATCAGTACGCACTTGCTGAATAATTTAATATTGTTCAGAAAATAGCAATACACCTAAATATATTTGGAAACCTACTTATAACAGTTAATTCATAAGTTCTTATGCGGTCAAAATTCCAACTAAGTAATTATAATCATCTGTTTCTATTGAGAAAATTATAAACAAATAGCGTTGAACTCTGAAACATCGCTTAATAATAATCGTAAGTAGTTATAATTCTATAAATAAAGCCTTTTATGTGCATGTAGGCAACCGTTTGATAGGTAATGGCTATTCATACTCCAAAAGTGTCTAAATTTATGACCAATGCGTAGTGCTCAAGGATTATTTGTCTGTAGTAGGCGCCTGCCCGGCTCGGCGTGATTCACCGATCTGCACGCAGCATAACGAATTCTGAATTACCATGAATGGCGATCTCGAATTCGTTTGCATAAACCTAAAAATGCAGTGCGAAGCTATCAATGTGCGGTTGTGCGGGTGTCGTTTTAGGATATCTTGATGACAACTCGTTCCAATCAATATTTATAAATAATGCTCTTTTATTGTTTCATTTAGATTAGATTTTTTGATAAAATTTTAAGATCAAGCGTTTCTAATGGGTTGATGCACCTAATGTTGCCATATCTGGGTAGTATAAAATAGCTATCAGATATGAATGATTCTTCTAAGCTAATCTAACCAAGTTTAAATTCTTATAAAAAAGTTAATCACATGCATACCTATATTGCAGCTTTAAATCTGTTTAAAATTAAACAAAAAGAAAAATCTTCGGGCGGTCAAAAGTTTACATCATCAAAAGATGATGTATAGTATATAGGTACTTTTCGCAAGATTGACGAAACAACGCTGAGAGATAGTTATTGTTCTTTGATAGGCTAATATTTTATGATCATGGGCACTATCAACAAAGCTTTTTTCGCGAAAGGGCTGATAAATACAAGTAAGTATACATCACCATAACGGTTTAATTTTTCAAAAGAGCTTCCTCGTCTCGTCTTCAAAGATCGCTGTTGTAGATGTCAACCATTGTGTCGGAAATGATTGCAATTGTAAAGGCGCGTTGGTATGTTAAGTTTACTTATTCACAGCTTATGAATACCGTTAGCAATCCATTCCCCTCTGTTGACTCTGGCAGCTAACAGGAAAAGATAAGGTGCAACATTGTTCAGGTTATCGAAATTATTTAAATGGAAAATCTTTATAGGTAGGTACCTAAGTAAGCAGTCTCAGACTCATCACTCCCTCAAGTCAGCCTTGAACAGTTTTATCTTCTTCTGTTAAGCTGATACAAAAAAACTGGACATATGTTGGTAAATTTTGGTTAAAATGTGATGAGGTCCTCATCTAGAGTACCCCTTTGTTGTGACAGAATTCATAGAGAACCTCGATATTTATATTTGAAAACCATCATTTTTGAAAGCTAGTGTACCTACTGATAGCTACAAGAATGTATTAAAAGACCACTCGGTAAGAAGAAAGCGGACCACGTGAGGGATCTATCCTCCTCACGCCCCAGCCGTCGCATTAGGAGGCATTCCGGGTATGGGCGATCGCCGAATCGCGTGAAGATCTGCAGCCATCGTAAGCGCGGATCTGTCGGCGGCGAGCAAGGTTAGCTCGACCAAAACCAGACTCTGGGTCCTAAATAACAGGGCCGATGTTCAGCCAGCGTTGCGGCGGCAATAAGATACCGGGGGCCTCAACCTGGGACAGGGGAAGGAACGGGGTGGTATTAGGCAGTAAGAGTCTGACACTTCCTCTTGTCATTTGATGATATTCACCAATCAAAAGAAGGGAATTAGTTGTACATATACATATATTATAAGACTACCGGGAATGCCAACAGCTAGTAAATGCGTGACAAAATGGTCTACCAATCGTAGCAAAATAATGAGATGCTTATTGAGCACGACACTGATTGCGTGACCGGTAGTGGGAGCTTTCCAGCTGTTGACTATAATATTGTCATTAAAATAACAAATTAATTGAAAAAGTAATCAATTGAATGAGCACCTATTCGCTTGAAGGCGCTATTCAACATTACGACACGATAGAACAAAGCGCCCTCTGGCGTTAACTGAACAGTCCGCACGAACTACCCGACATTTCACATTATTTTACTACTTACCTGTAAAATGTGGCGTCAAATGGAATAGGTTCACAGATAGGTAATAGTTATTAACATAACATAATGAGCCATAATAACACCAGGGTATTTATTACTCTAGGAACACAGAACAAATTGTTTAAGCTCATAAAGAAAAACGGAAATTAATGGAGATTGTTGTCTGAGTAAACGCTTTAGTTTGTTTTATTTTTTTATTTTGAAGTTTAAGTGACTTTAAATTAATAAACTATAAATAAATTAATTTGTTGTTTTTCCTGTACATTTATTAGATAGATAGATATTGTTCTTTTAAAGAGAAAATTATTTCTATTGTTTATTCGGTGAGAGGATGTAGGTATGTAGATTAATATTGACTAAAAATCGCTCTGTTTCTTCTCGCACTCCGAGCCGGGGCGCATATCTACATTATTATTTTCCTTCTACTAACTGTAGTGAAAGACGTTTTGTTTACATCGACGGTTATCTATAATATTTGCGACAGACAATTTAATATATATCATCAAATCACAATAAACAATGCCTACCATATTTAGGTGTTTTCAACAAGGTAGTGTAGAGCAAGTATAATGCCCTACAAAAACATTCAAATAAAATAACTGTGTACTAGCGTCCATAGTTTTCTTTATTCTTGGCTCATCCAGAAGCTCTGGTAAGCTCACGTCAGCGTCGTTCTGGGAAGGAGCGTGCGATATGGTGCGGCGACGGCTGGCCGACTCTACTCAATGACTTTCCATTAGTAAGATGAGTGTTTGCTCTATTAATACTCCGGTCGTGACAAATACATTATCGCCTCGATTCATTCACGGTTCAACTGACACCAACCTGATTTTTTTAATGAGACTAATTTTTGGTGTATTTTTATGAAAATTAAAATAACGGTCCCAGTCGACGTCCATCCAAACTAATATTATAAATGCGAAAGTAACTCTGTCTGTCTGTCTTTTCTTCGCGCCTAAACAGCTGAACCTATTTGTGTGAA